TTTGCCATAAATGCCCCATGTATCAAATGTGATACAAAAGAAATAGAAATAATCTAAATAATATGGCACCTCTATTCCTATATGCCTGGACTGTCTGTCTATGCATATATGGCAAATAAAAATCGTGAATCTTGAATTTCGAATCATTATATTTTGGGTTTTGTTAAAAGGTTTAATAAACATCTCAGTTCCAAAAAAATAGAATGTTCTGGCTATTTTTTGATATGTTGGGCTTTACATTAAAACATATTGGTTTGTCTTGGCTTTTAATGCACAGTAGGGCCTGATGCATTCCTTTTAATTTTAAGTTATTGAATGTATGTCATCTGTGTGTCTGTGTTATTGTGCTGTTTTACTTTTTGCACTGATCTCATTTATTCTATTTTAGTTATTTATTGTGATTTTATTCTGTCTATGTAAAGTATTTTGGTCAACTAGATGTTGTTTCTAAAGTGCTATATAAATTATTTTGATTTGATTTGATGAACTCTAACTTACACAATTAGGTTATAAGTAAATATTAATAATTTAATATTTAAACAAAACAAGCAAACACAAAAAACTTCATGGACAGTAATACACAAAAAATAAGTTTTTAGATGTTGACACAAATTATAGGCCTATACTAATGTTTTTGATGATCTCTCTCAGAATCTGGCTTATATTACTGCACTGATAATTAAACCACAATCCATTAGAGACCTTTGTTCAGCCATTGTTTAACAACAGAAACAACAAAGTCAAATATAGTCAAATATTATAGCTCTGTTGTAGGCCTATGTATGGAGGAGAGAAAGCTAAATAGCTTAGGCTGTTCAGTGTCTACATGTATTGTTTTAACCAACCAAAACCCTCCAGTATATGCAACTAGTATGAAGCACCTATTTATAGGCTAGACCTCTGTCCGTGCTCTGTCTGAGAAGATAAAACTTTTTGTTAGAATTGAGAAAGTAACATTTGTGTAGCCTAATACTCTCCTTTAATGAGAAGAAACAGCATGTATCACACCAACCAGCCGCTAAAATGATGAGCCAATTCTTGTCAGACACTGTAAGAAGGGCACAGACAAGTAGAATCAAAACCATCAGGTATTTCTTCTGCTTAGTCGTTAATGAGAGTTTTATTGTGAAAATATTAACCGGAAGCTGACACATGGGCCTGCAGTTAGACTTGACGCCAGTCTACAACTGGGGGTCGGCAGAGACACTGTGGCTTTTACGTGAGGACCAGGTCGCCGAAAGAGACCGGCGGCGCTGACGTTAACGGGTTAAGCGACTCGTGGGGATAGTTTGTGACTTCCATTGGCGAGGAATCGCGGATAAACCTCGGTGGATTCCAGCGGGACTGCTGTTATTTCATCGGCTATTTATTGGCATGGATTGTCCGGTGTAAGTAGCTGACAGCCGCACTTTCTTCTCCGAGCGTGAGTGCGCGACTGAGCGCGTATCAGGAATGTTCTTTTGAAATGGTTCATATCTGACATTAGCTCACACTGCCAAGGAAACGACTTTCTTCCCTTTTGTCTCTGTGTAATGCTTGTTTGGGCCTTGATGGCCCGTTGCTGCTGCTGAATTCGGCGGTAACTGGTACTAGAGGTGCAACAGGTGACTGCGTCAGGCCCTAAACAGGTTTACTGGTGACTTGGTTTACAGGGTTAATGTCACTTCAGACGATGAGGACAATGAAGCAAACAACGCATTACACTCCTACCGTCAACTTAGTGAATAGTTCCTGTAGTTATAAAGAGCAACTTAACTAATATTCCTGCTCTAATCCGAAGATACAAGACATTAATTAGGGCTAAATTGGATTTGACTCCCAGTGTGTATAGCTGGTCGGAAAAGCAGAGGGACTGCTGATACTGTAGACAGTTGTGGCTTAAGTACACTAACCTCATAAAACAAGCTGCAGATGCACAAAGAAGGGCATCAAAGAGGAGATGAAGATGTAGAAAGCCTCGCAATTTAACAGAAGGCAGGGGAATTTACCAAAATGACCAGAAACAGATTTAATATGACTACAAAGAGAAGCAGTGAAACTAAGAAACAATGGGAAAATTCCAAAAAGCAACACAATTAACACAATTAGCTACAAAGAGTCTCTTTCAATTTGTGGGCATTGCTTTTGTGTAGAGCATGGATCAGGCTGCCGTCCAAGCCTGACCCAGACCTGACAAGCTTATAGTATATAATGTCTGAGCCCACCACCATTGAGTTTGTATGGTGTTTTCTCTTCTTATCATTAAAAGAAGCAAACATTTGAGTTCTCCAGCCATCTAGCCTAAAGTTTGACCTACAGTATGTGTCTGAACTCCTCCTGACCCAAGCATAATTTCTAAATTCTGTCTGAACTTGGCTTGAACCCTTGAGTATTGACGGGTCCTATCACGCTTGCATCAGGTATCTGCACTCGGCTCCTGTGTAAGAGCGTGGGGGCTAGGGGTGTGACGATATATGTAGCTCATGAGACAAGATGATTCAGGAGAACAAGACCACATTTTAACACTGTTTTTAAGAAATCGTCAATAATGAAATATACGAGTGGAAAAATAGTCTTTATTTGATTGAAAGTCACAAAAGTGCACAACAGTCCAGGTGCACTTTGAAATGTCTTGACTAATCATCTTGTAATGAAGGTCACTTCAGTTCTACTTTCTGAGTATGAACTATCATCTGTAGTAAAAGACAGAACAATATACAAACACTGTAAAAGGTTCTGCCACAAACGCAGCTGACTGCTTCAGTGCATGATTTCACATGAGGCTCTTCAGACCTTTAACTGTGCATGAACTATGCATGAGCTTCTACGTTCTAAATGAAGCTGCAGTTTCCCACAGAATTGCCTTCTAATTGTGGTGGTAGTTCAAGGGGTCGGGGTGTTTTCATAATTCTTTTATTAAATTGAATATAATAATGCTATAGGGCTGTAGTGCTGTTCATCTGACCGCTCTCTTCTACACTAGCTCTCCCACAGCAGCACCATGTTGGCTGCTGCCCTCCACCTACATCTCTCTCTTCCTGACCCAGCA